CAGGCCTTATCGCTGTTTATCTCTCCGGTTATTAAATTTTCAGCTGTTCTCCTCTGACAGCGAAAGGGCAACGTTTTGCCAACATAGATGATAACGATCTGTCGGTTATGGTCATTGGCCTTGCCTCTCTTTGTAAATCAAAAGTTCTTCAAAAAATATTTTTATGTGTGGATGAATCAAAAGTTCTTCAAAAAATATTTTTATGTGTGGATGATTCTGTCATTTCTTAACACATTTAATTATGGTTGTTGATTTTAGTTGGAGTACACTTTTACTGTTATTCTATTCGAAAAATATATATATATATATTTAAGGAGCATTAGTTAATTAAACATGATTTGGGAATTTTTGTATGTGACTGGTCATTAGGCGGAATATGGCATTACAGTGAGTGTTACGGTATGGAAAAGCTCATTGTGTATAGCTATGGTGCGCTACAGCTTTCCATAATCTATATACATGAAAGTATTTTCCACTGTCTTTGCTCACGTGTAGTGTCTTTTAGCAGGCGGACTTTTCGTAATAACAGTATAAAATGAGTATACAGTGTTTAAACGTCGGTGAAGGACAAAACCTAATTTGAAAAGTTAAACATGTCGTTGATTGCGTAATCAGTTTAATACCGGAGATCCAAACTTTTCGGCTGGTGCCCATGCATGATTAGCTGGTGACAGTGCTGTGCCGAGTCTTTGGGGTATTTTCTTTTTAGTTTTGTGGAAGAGACCACTTACGGTCATCAGCGCCACTCGCATAGAACAGTGGGGACAGGCGAACTGTCATCTATTGAAGCATCGCAGAGTGCTGATAATGGCGCCCTCTTGTGCCAGAAAATAGCAAGAAAAGCCAGTAAAGCCGAGGAACCTTTTCATTATTTCAAATCTAAAACAGCACTACAATTTTGCTCGAAATTTCAGTAGTAAATATGCCAATGAAAGAGGTACACCGCCTCCCCCACCAGAAAAAAGCTTTGCATGACAATTTCTCTTTAAATATCAGACAACTGTAATATCACTGAAGTGATGAGTCTTGTACACTCTACAACTCACTTCATCGAATTAATTCCAGCAATGGAACGACCTTGTTCAAAAGCAAGCATTGTGAAGAACAATACCCGTACTCTCTCTCCTTATTCATTTACCAAAGGAAATACAAGGGCCAAGAATGCACTGACAAAAAGGCAGCATTTACGTAAACCTTTTAGCAACCGAGGAGGTTTCCATGGGCACGTATTAATCTTTCTTTGGGATGCATTGTGATGCCCATTTTCCAAATAGTTCCTGTAATCATCGTCATTCATATCAAAGGTGACGGAGGGTCGTCGACATTACTGTCTTCATGAATATTTTGATTGGGCGATGCCACATTCCCTGCCAGCTGATGAATCAAACAAAAAGACATTCTGTCTTTATTTGATTATGTTATCTCAACACTAAAACGACTCCTGGTTTAGACATACTCCTGAAATCATGGAAGTCAACACATAATGTCCATTCAAAACGAATGCACTTGAGCCAAGGGCAGATCCGGGGGGAGGGGGCAACGGGAGCCATGGCCCCCAAAACGAACGAACCAATTTTTTTGAAAGTGACGTCGCAATTCTTCAAACAAATTCGGGCCCCTTAATCGGGCCCCGAACCCCTCGCCGTAATTTTGGATAAATTTTTTTTTTGGTGGCTCCCTCCCAAAAAAAATGGTGTTCTGGATCCGCCCTTGACTTGAACAGGATGTTTCATAAAATCTGGCCCACTCCGGTGCTAAAGAGTGTTGCCATATACGAAAAGTACTTCTATACGGATTCGCAATAATATCGTAAACCGAGTCATTGCCAATTTGAATTTCAAATGTTTTATCCAAATTTTCAAAGCACTACGTATGCGTCTGTATTTCAAGCTCAAAATTTTTTAATTTAACGAGAAAACAATATTTTCCGTCATTCATCAACTGAGATATTACAAGTTTTTATCACAACCTGCGCGTGCGGTCCACAAATGAGCCCCGAATCCAATTTTCATTAAATGTAATGCGAGAAGGGCCTCGTCCCCGTCGGTGAAAATGATTAAAACGGCATCATACATATCCCCGTCGACCGGATGACACAAAGGTCTCTTGTAATTCTGACTGGTAATTTTCATTAATCTTCATCTCCAAGCGGATACAATGTCCTTAGCGATGTAAATGTACCCCTTGGATGATAACCCCCGGAGGGTTTGGAATATTGCTCCAGTTTCGCATTATAAGCCTTGCCGACGAATTTATCCGGGTTAACCTGTCAACTAAATGACAGGCTCCGCCGGCTGATCTGTCAAGTTGTTGCCCTGAAAAAATTAATTCTGGAAACCCCCTCTGGGAACGCGGATTAGTCTGAATCCGAGCATCACGCCTATTGGATTCGTTCGTGTTTGATGGTGGGGTTAAGACTAGCCACACTGTGTGGCATCAGTAGTCAGGTCTGCGATCACATTTATTTTGACCTGGGAATTTTGCCTGGAGTTTTGAGAATGATTGATTTTTCTTTTAAAATTCATTGAATTGGGATCTTTATTTGGTTAGAACACTTGCTCAAATGCTATTGATTTGGAGTTTTAGTATTAATTTTAAGCAGTTACACTTGACATGGGACAATGGTAAAAAATGTTAATTGGTGACAATCATTTTGGTTAAAGTTGCGTTTCCCGTGCTCTTTAAGGAATTCGATTAAATTTGTTCTGTTCATACATGTTCAACTAATTTATTCTTCACAATGCCCCCCCCCCCTTTCGGATGTCCGAAACCCTTTGAAAAAACAGGTTTTTGTTTTCAGCACAAATAGATCCCTCTGCCATCGGAAACCGGCCTACATACCCCATGAGAACAAAATTCATTTATGGCAGCCAATAATTCGAAAGTGTAAAGTAAACATTTCAATAACTAAACGTGGGCCGATTTTTTTTGGTCGATGTCTCATTCAAAAGTAAATTGAATAACCTTTATATTGCTAGAAAAATAGCAATTTAGAAAAGGAATCTATCTTTCGGGTTGAAACTCGCAACTTTAAGCCCTATCGATGCATCTTTCGGAGTGACGAATTTCGAGGAAAAAACAAAGGTGCAAACTTTACGATTCGTCAGTATTCCCGGCCGTCATCATGACTTGTACTCTAATTGGTCACTTGCAGGACAGAAAAATAAGGGTTCATACCTATGTTCCCAAATATATGTTCACCAATACCGATGTTCCCTGAAATCTTTACCCTAACCGTAATCCTAAGGATTTCGGAGAACATCGGTAGTGGGGAACATCGACAGTGGGGAACATCGGGTAGACCCCTAACAATAACATCAAAGCATTTCCGTGTCAAGATTTGACACAAAATGACTACACGAGACAACTATAATTTGCGTTCTATTGCCATGTCCGATTAGGACTCGACTGACTGAGTATCAAGGGAATAACTTGCAATTATCACTGATTCGAACGGCGGTCAGTTCAATCACTCCAACCAGCGCGTACCTGTGATCCTTCACCGGGGCTTTCTTTCATCCTTCCCCCACGAGGGGTTCTTGCATTGCCCGCTACTTTCATCATCCAAAGTTCCAGGGGGAATTGTGTTCAATTCTTTCCTTGGATTTGTTAATTTGTAAGCAGCGGTGGTGTGGCATGATAATTACGAGTGGGTATTATACGGTAAGTTGGGCTTATTATCACCATTCGAAGGCACCTTTACTACATAGCCGAGACTCTAACTTAAAAAATAATACAAGCATAGATTAACATTTTGTCGTACTTTCTTTTTTAACAACGAAAACCCATTATGGCCTTTCGATCCCATGAAAAATTTCGCTATGGAAACTGACGAAGACTTAAATGTGTAACGCGCATAATGTGCGGTTTTTGTGCGTGTGTGTGTTTGAAAAAAAATGTTATTTGTTCTAATCAGAAACGTTCTATCCCTGAGTTTTTTCGTCCAAAACGCGCACACCTTGTTTCCTTGGCAATCGATATTTTATTGACAGCAATCAGTGTTGTCGCGCAGCCTTTCATTCATCTGGGAAATGGTGTGGTTGTTTTGTAGATTCTCTTTATCCCAAGCCATATTTGCCGCCAAAATATGTTTTGCTTCAAACGGTGGCGTATTTGCAAAATATTTACCAATTAAAGACGTCATAACACTTTTCAGTTCTTAAGACAGTACATTTAATACAATAAACGATTGTCTTTGACCAATAAATGAATAAATAACTAACTAAATAAAGCACATAAGCTATCTTACTTTTTTATTAGACGCATAACGTACGAATTGCTGATTACGGGATAGGCGAAAACCCCGCTAAAAAACCCCAACATTTTGGGGAAAAAACACGGAAAAAATTCCGATCCGGCTCCAAATTACAGAGGCAACCAAGTTTACCAAGTTTATCATAAAGTTTGTCAAAAATTTTTTTTAAAAATAATTGAATTACTTTATAAAGTATTCCCATTTAAGGAGGACAAAGCATATTTACAAAATATTCTAGTAATAATTGTGTATGTACAATGTATAATAATTCTGCATCCATGAGATCCTATGAAATCAGTGTTCTTCAGATCCGTAAATACTTCTTACATCACTCGACTGGTTAGTGGTGCTTTGTGATAGCGCCCTCATTTGGTGAAATTAGTTAATTATAACTGTTCTCAAGGACAAAGCCTCACTGTTTTACTACTGGTTGTAAACATTTCCCAGGGGAGGTGATGATTATAACAATAGAGGGCGCCATGCAGGCCAAAGTCGTCAATATTTTTTCCCGATGGGAGTTAAATATACATAATCACATTGCTGTATTGTAGCGGACAGTGATGTGCTCATCCGGTGGGGATGTATTTCCAGATTTCGAATCCTCTACAAGACTTAGGCTATGAAACTCGTCTGTTAGTCTGTTGAAATTTGGGTTTAATTGGAGGATTATGTTTCTAAAGGAAAATAAGTGCCTTCCTTATACGATTCCAACCCTGAGGGATCGTTAACGGAATGGATAGTGGGATTGTCATTCTTTCAAATACTACTGCTGCCTAATCTCCTTGCCGCTATCTCATATTAAAAAGATTATTTACGGATGAGCTTTGTATTCCAGTGAAAGGTAAAATAGAAATCGTTTGCCTGTAGATGGCATTTCTTTTAAAAGTGTTTCATAATTTTATAGTCTGCCATATCCATATTTCAAAGGAGGTCTGTGTCACAGACAATTCACATAATGTCCGACATCTACACACACAAAATATTAAAAACCACTTTGGTTTACAAGTGACACTGGCAGCGACTTTTGCCTTGTTTAGACGTATTTCAAGCAGTAAATAAAGCCATCGTATTTCGAAAAAATATGTAATAACGAGACCGTATAAAATGCATATTACATAAATGACAATTCACTGTTTGATATCAGGTCCCACGCCAGTTTCACGCTTAATCACATGGCGGTCCCAGCGCACACGTTTGAGGCATTTTCTGTTGAACAGAAACAATTACAAGTAAACCATAGGCTCAACTTTTGAGTGCCAAAATGAAACGAAATCAAAATTTAAGCCATAGTTGTGTGAACGTTTCTATTCTACTCTTTAATGATTTTATATCCTTCCAACTTATTTCATTTGGTGGTGAACACGTTCTTGCCAAAGTCTCTTTCAATGTTTTTAACAGTATTGAAAGAACTTGAAGTATGAGGGAGCGATGTGCCAGGACGCTATGCCAACGCGCACATGGGTCGGCACCCGATTGTAATGTGCACCGGCGTCCCACTCCAAGAAAGCCTCCTCCTGTCCGCCTTTACCGACCTTGACCACGCCCCCTTTGTAGTCGATCCAGAAGGGGCGGTATTCCATGTCAGTGACGATATGTTGCTCATTGTGCGCCACCTGTACCACGTCACAAGCACCGCCTGTATCTGATTGACAAGGTCTGATGACAGATTTGGAATTCCCCCAGCCGCCGATATCTATGGAGGGAAGTTTTAAGAAAACTGCCATTTTGTCAGTGCCTTGTGAATGTGGAGACCTTAAAAATATGCTTAAACCTTCTGATTTGCCCGGCCACTTTTAACCCTTAAAGATATAGTCCATCATTTGTAATTTGTGCATTTTGTTTGTTTGAAGCAACAAAAGTGTTCAAAATCTAATGAAGGATACTGAACAACTAACCTGATGAAGTTTCAGCTAAGCTTCAGCTGTATATTCCGAGAAAAACAGCATTTTAGGATCTCAATTTCAAATCAAAAGTTACTGAATCATGTTTTGAATTGTTTTGAATTGCAGCTATACGCGACGTCGCGCACTGATCCGACGAATTATAGCAACCGCGCGCGCGTGTGCGTCGTGCCAATGCTTGCGCGCGCTTCGCCAAATAACAAAACGAACTACTAATTTAAATTTTCCTACGGTTAAGACACACCGTTGGAAAGGCTTTCTTCCAGAAAGAATAATTTCACAGGGAGTTTAGTTCCCTTACTATCTTTCAACCAAGTTTGTTTTTCAACAATAATTACGCCAGTTACTTTTCGGATGGCTGCAAATGATGGACTATAGCTTTAAAGGACCGGGTGGATTTTCCTCTGCACTTTTTTGAGCAATATTTTCCCTCAACCAGGCGCGGATCCATAGGGGGAGGGGCGGGTTCGAATAACCCTCTTTTTTTGCTCTGACACCAACAAAAATTCGAAACTCATCACAACACAAACTGCACATAAGTGGTAGCCGTTGTTGGTGGTTCCGCGCTAACATTATTGTTGTGATTTTGTATTCAAGATGCGGAAATCAGATCTCGGTTAGTCCTGCATAAAATTCGCATACATTTAGCAGGAAAACCTCCTAATGTATTCAGAATTCATTGCCCGCTACCTGTCCTTACATTCGATGTCCGAAGGACACTGGAGGGACCGTGAACCAGTCTAAATGTTTACTATAGCTTGGAATTGGCAAAGCCAGTCAAGTGAGGACGCCCTTTCATGAAAAGGGAATTGCAACAACTGTACTCAATCTCAGCACGCGTAGTGTAAACCGGTCCCGCTGCGGTAGTCAATTATTAATCAGTATTTTGAAACCTATGGTTATGCCTATGGTAATGGTAAGAGTCAGTTTTTGATAGCGTGGTGTTTAACTGTCATCCATGAGTGATACTGTAATCATGAAGCTATAAAAAGGAATCATCATTTTCGAAAATAAACAATCATATACCTCGCGCGCAGAGATGATCCTATCAATGGCCTTAAATGGGAACTAGCTACCGGTCCCCGTACTTTTCGGGGGGGGGGGGACCAATCTAGTGGCAAATTGATATAATTTTGCAGTGTAAGGACGCACAATTAGTAAGTCTGATTAAGAGTAATTCATTACTTGCCCCCTACAAACATATATATTCAACGGTTTTAGAGATTAACAAATAAGATACAGCATGCACAGAGCATCAGAAAAGTGGCCGAGGTGCCATTAAAATATAGCATAATGGACAACATGTAGAAACTTTCCAAAATGAAAAAGTAAAAATACTATGAAATCTCCTACTTGATTGTAAGTACATGATAGGATAAAGCACCCCCGTGAAATCATTTGCTGTGCAGTATGCTCACGTCAACGTCACTACGCTGTCATTTACAGGAAAATGGGATTTGCCATCATTTCGGGAGGAAAAAAAGCCAAAACGCGGGGTTTTTTTTCTCGAATACTGCCCCAAATTGGCCAAATTTAGTTTAGTTTGCAATCAGTTACAAATCCTTCTCCAGAGTGCAAAACTTGGGGTCATATCGCTAGAGGGTGCAAGTTAAAATGTTTCCATAATTACCGTAGACAGTTTTAACCAATTCCTATCAGTCATGTTACTGGTCGTTTACGGTTGATAAAAAAAAACAACGACTAGCGGGTTTTTAAACACTTTTCTGGTGTCAAATGAAATGTTGACTTCTCATCCTTCTACCTTTTTATGTTCAGTAAGGCATGCACAATACTACCAATGAGTCCGTATTTTGAGAGTGCTAAATTCACACTATTATTGATGTACCCTAACGTGGTGTGGCCCCCAACGTGGCACACTTTGATATTTCGCCTGTAGCGCCTAGCTAGAGCAAATGTTTTAACTGAAATTTCACAGAAAGTGAAATTTCATCAAGTTCTAAACACTTCCGTTCATAAAACACGAGTTTATCTTCCTGTTAGAAAGTTTGAAGAAAAAAATTATTTTGGCGTGATTTTCCGATTTTATTTCAAAGTGCACAGTGAACCCTTTGAAAATGTCCCGAAAATATATAAAATAATTTGCTGACAAACTTCTAGTTGGGTATGTTATTAGAGATAATAATTGTTTATTAGAATTTATCAACTTTACAGAAATTCTTAAAATGTTAATTTGGAATTTTTGGAGATTTATTCAAGTGCGCCACGTTGGGGAACACTCAGCCGATTTGTGCCTAATTTCCGGACACCACCGTTTTTGAATTTGGGATTAAATTTCATGAAACCGAAATTGTTCACAGAGGTTAAATAGCAAGCATTAATAAGGTAAATGTACCAGTATTTCACTGAATGAATTTGAAGTTTGTTAACAAAGAAGTTTGGCAACACTGATGTGGAAACTCGGGGTAAATGTCGAAGTGCGCCACGTTAGGGAACACCACTATACACCGGTACCTCCGCGTTCTGCGCTACATCGCGCAGTACACACCACGCGCGCGTCAATCTCCACACAAGGAGCTGATTACGACTACTCACGAGAGGCACATACCATTAAACATAGCTAGAGGGGTGTTTCCAAAAACAAGTAAAATTGTTGAACAAAATCGTTGGAAGTTTAGTATAAAAAAAAAAAAAAAAGACCGAAAAGGTATTTATGAATGGGAATAAACATGTGCTTGACCGGTATTAAACAAGTCCGTTTAAGACCGGCTGGGAGACTGGACGCTTATAATGGCCCGAGCTGAAGGCGAGGTACGTTATCGGCGACCAGGCCCCAAGCCGGTATTAAACGGACTTGTTTAAAACCGACCAAGCACATATTATTCCCTTATTAATTGAGCATCGAATGGAGGGCTTTCAATGGAAACCTTGCTTTGCATGCTGAAATATGAACACTCATTTTCACAGTTTTGAAAAAGGATATCGACTGAGATGAATTTTCAACAGATTAAGTTTTTAAAAACCTGCTTCAGATTTAGTGCATTGTGGTTTCTTGAGTAGGGAAAGATAGGCCTACTTGTTCCCCATAAAGGTGTCCATTACCTCAGGTATACGTCGTAATTCTTCCATTATTGATAACCACCGTCACTGTACCGGGATTCCAATCTTACATTGTAAGAAGGACAACAATAGTGAGACACTAAAAGGGAAAGAACTAAATTGATTGAATTTTTTTTGTTAGGACTCACTTATTTCAGCAAAGATTGAGTCCTCCGTTTCGCCCTCTGCCAGAGCTACGAAGGGCTCGCGAGCAGATTTCAGCTTGAAGTTCAAACGGAAAGGCATCGACAGAGGGCGTAAGATGAAGGTGAACCTAGATGGGTTAGTGGGCGGCGCGAAGAATGAGCAGGCTGAGGAGAAAAAAAAATGAAAAAAGAAATCAAATTGTTACAATACTGGTGGAGAGCAAATAAAATGATTGCATTTTGCACAGTTGAGCAACCAGACAGAATCCCCGAAATCCAAATAAACCAAATCGGTCGAGGGATGAAGATGAAACCTTGTATACGAGTATGAGCCCTTGTCGGAGGATGTGGGGGGGGGGGGGTGCGAAGTCTCCATGACGTCATCGGAGATCAAATTGCAAGCGTTTAAGGTTAAAAGATGAAAAAAAACCCTTTCAACCATAACTCTTGCCATGAATGAATCTTTTGTGGTGTGATTGATATTGCCTTGAGCAGAATGCTTGATCCTGAGCAAGAAGCCGCTTGATCTTTACTTCCGATTTTATCGAACGTGCAATGTGAAATAAATATACCGTAATAAGTTAAGGTAGCATTTTACTACCATTATACTGATTGAGTAAAACGTTGATAGGTATTGCCTACCACAAAGAATGGCATAATTACGTCATAACCTTAACAAACCAAAGCGTCCTCCAGCGGTACTTTAAATACGTTTTTTAATGGAAAAAAATCTGAAATATAACAAAATGGGCAATATCAATTTCTCAGAAAACCACACATTATGGCGAGGCACAGCACAGAAACAGGTAATAGAGACACAATATAGTAGTTTTATTTCAACGGGGTTGCCTTTTCAGTTATGTAAGGTGCTATTCTTAAGGGCCCTGATTACATTAAAATAAGTTATTGAATGAAAATAAAAAGGTAAAAAGAAACCAAAGAAAACAGTAAACAGACCAACATAAAATGAAACAAAAATAAAATAAAATTAACTAAATATATATAGAATCCAAATTTACGTAAACTTAAATGTGAAAAACAAAACGAAAGTAGTAGGACCAAAACTATAAAAAAATAAAGAAAAGCAAATTGTTAGATATCAACATTACTATAAAAAAAAAGCAAGCATGATGAAATTCAGAGATAAAACATATTGAATTTTAGATGGCAGGCTGCACATCTTAAAGTATTTTTAATAAAGCAATATAACATCCGTCAAAAATGTGGCGTTTTTTTGAAAAAAAATTAATTACACTTCAGTAGGATTTCGCTGGACTGTAACTACACACGGTCTTCGTGTTATTATCAAGATTACAACATGTGTGATGACTTGCGCATGCTGAAAGGGATCACCAGTGGGGAAAATTAGGAAACATGGTCACTTCTTAGTAACCATGGAAACCAACCCATGGAACACGAAAACGCCTGAACAGCTTCTTTTGCATATTGTTTGAAAATAATTTGCCCAACAGTTGAAACTTAATTAATTATTTCAGTCACTCATCACGTCTTGACATGAGTATGATACAGGTTGGGTTTATACTTGAGCATGATAAAATGTATTACCGACGAGGAAATCAGTAGCAAAATTCGGTCAGTTCTTGGTAACTACGAAAAGCAACCATCACAACATCAAAAAACCTCTATTGGAAATAAACCAACTTCGTATTATTTTATAAAACCATCTTCCTAAAAAATAAAGGAAACTATGCAGTGATTGAAAACATTCTTCACGTTGCACAAAATCAAAATGGTGCAGATGGTGTAGATTTATAACAATTCAAATTTTCCAAAGTAACACTGTAGGTAAAAATGCTGTGTTAGGCCCAAAAAAAAAATTCGGTCTCTGGTCAGACCAAAGTTCCGGAATTGACGCGGCTTTTTTTTTTTTTTTTTTTTTTCTTCAAGCTTGGATTGTACAGACAAGGTGGGGTACTATTTTTTTTTTGGCCTAACCTCTCTATAACGGATTCGATGGAATAATACATCGGTCTGGAGTGCGTTGGTTGATGAGTGAATTGAAGACCAGACAAGTCTGTCAGTTGTCTCTCTTATCAAGAACAGCACGATTATGAAAAAAACTCCCCATATACGTACACCACATACGTGACTGATTTTGCAGTTTTTTTGTAATGACGTGCACACATTTTCAATTGAATTATGTCTTTATTTCCCACTTTTCTTTACACGGTAATGAAAAATTTCGCGCGTAGCCACTCGGCATTTATTGAGAAAAATGCTGAAGAAACTGCTTATTTTCAAAGATATTTTATTGATTATAAGGGGCACCACCTTTTATATGTATAGGAATACACAATGTTACATATTGCGACACTATTGTGACTCAACTTATAGAGACAATGTGAATTGCAGAAAAATGAAGCTACGCCCATACACTGTTTACACGGAAACTGATGGTTTAATAAGGTAAGCGATCAACCTGGTAACGTATCTGACATATAATAACAATAATATTTTATGCGGCAAACTGACAGATATACACACAATTACAATAAATACATAAAATTTGATATTAAAACAAAAGGATATACTAACAATAAGAAACCAAGTAAACACTACACACGAAAGACAGAACGTGGACAGTGCAGGGCTGCCGAGGAGAAGAACAAAAGTGAAACAAAACACTGTCGCCAATAAGGCGTGTCTCCCCAACCCTGCACAATGACAGACACATAACACAGACCAAGAACAAAACAATTAAAACTACCAAAATTGCACAAGGGAGGAAATGTCCAAGGGAGTATAATATGGGATTCAAAAAATGGGCAGGGCAGATGAGGCTAAGTAAAGGAAGTGGATAGGAGAACCGGGCAGTACAACAGAGGGAGGGAGGGAGACAGGGAAGGAGAAGATGTTTTTTTCATGGAGTGAAGAACGCTCAAGAGTTCTGAGCAGTGTTAAAAATAAAGTACAAGAAATTTGAAATAAAATTGTCGAACTGCAGAAACGCCTGAATGTTTTTCCAAAAACGTCATGAAAAGTTCGTTGAAAAGACAAAACAAATGCTTACTTTCTCTGATATAGTGAGTACAATTGCCGGCTTTAGGCGTCCCGTCAGAGGTTAATTCTAAGGAGGCCTCCTCCAACACACACTGGCCCGTGGTCTTCCCGTAGCAGAACCACCAGCAGCGCTCTTCCTTAAGGCACTTCGCGGCGCAACGACGCTGGGATCCGGGGACAGACGAGGCGATGACGCGGTGCGGTTCCGTCTCGTACTCGCCGTGTTTGGCTTGTACGAAAGTTTCCGAAAAATTAACAGGTGTGGATCCAATTGACATGGTAACCTCAGCATAGCAGGTCACGGCGATCAGAGTGAAATGTAATACACGTACTTTCATATCTGGCGCTACACTATAGCATTGTATTAACATCAAGGAACTGAAATTATTTCTATTTTTCGAAGAGAAGCTGTTGTAAGATGACACAAATCTGAATTGCAGGCCGAATATTTTAATACATTGCAACAAATCGGTGCCACCTTTTACAAGGAGTCGTCAGCAGCTGCGCCACAATAATATTGTGTTTGTTCACTGAAGAATTCGTAAAACAATCGACTGCTCGGGCGGTTTTGGGCGCTCTATAGGCAAGGTGGTTTCCGACGCTACAATGACTGATGGAGTAATGAATAATGAAAGGTTTGCGGAAACACCATGTGCGAATAATTTCTCAACTAAGAGAATGGTTCTGAAAAGAACCAGAGGTATAAACTCACTAGACTGATGGAGTGACAGTTTTACACTACCACGCCACCGCATGGCTGTTCCGTGTCTAATTCAGTAGATGCGCACGCGTATAGTTTGTTACAAGGCCTTAACCCTAAAGGGGCCGGGTTATTTTGACCATCTCTCAGCCGGGGGGGGGGGGCGGATTCCGCCCCCCCTAAGATCTCGGCCATCGAGTGACGAAAAATTTTGAAACTCGACACATGCATAGAGCAACTCTTCCTAAACATACCCAAGAAATTTCATGACTATAGGTCAAAGGGATTTGGAATTATGGCTAATTAATTATTCATATGTACGAATGGCAATTCTGCTCTGTGTACACGACGTATATGCGAAAATTCAGATTTCACGGCGCATAGCGCCGGAAAATTTTTCGCTACGCGGCAACCCGTGGTCCGATTTTTATGTTTTTGGTATCAAAAGATGCGCAAAGCTCGAGGCTAAAAAGTCATAACAGCTCGGGTCACGAAAAAATTTTTTTAGAGGCTAAAACGGAAAATGTTGAGGGGGGGGCGGATTCCGCCCCCCGTCCCCTTTAGGGTTAAGGGGTTAAGGTTAAGGGTATCGGTGCAGACCAGTAAATCGGTCCGAAATTGCCTACGCCGGCCAAATCACGATTTGCATGCACTCAAATTTTCCGGTATCAGAACATTTTGATTGCCGTGACTTTGATGATTTGTAAAAAAAGAAGGTTTGAAGCCGTACAGAGGACTGCGAGCTCATATTTCTGTGAAATCTGGATGAAATTAGGCCCTAAAATTGATCTGTTTTGCAATGAAGCGTAGGGCTGGCGCCCATTTTCAAAATGGCGATGGGCTTTAGGACTGCTTGAAGGGGTGATCATCTATGGATGGAATTTTTTTCCAAAAAGTAATTGGTTACCATCCCCCCCCCCCAAAAAAAAAACCAATTGAACAGAAAATGAAAGATGAAGAAATATGTTTTAATTTGATGCGTGTCTTGAACACCTCAGAGAGTTGTGAGTATTTTTAATAATTTTGGGTAGTGCGCGTAATTACCACTTAGGTCTATGGTCTTTGTGCAAGACGTTCTTAGCGAGGTAATTCTCGAGAGGCTGGGCCCTTTAACCGCGCTGCAGCATGCGGGCGCTGGTAAGGGCTGATGAGCTTCACTGAATCTTGTGAAGGAAGTACAGATTGACCTTCGCATGCAGCTAGCGCGCGCTACGCATGATGGGCACCGGAAGCTAGTTTGTGTGACGCGTTCTACGTCACAGGTCACGCAAATCTATCCAATGAGGGCTCAAATGACGTCAGCCCTGACCAGCGTCCTGTTTGCAGGGCGGGGGGTACGAGCGAACAATCCGCAAACAATTATGGTTAAGGGTGCAACCCTGTATTAAAACTCCCGTAGACGCCTGTGCTAAATGCCCATACTTCAACTTTTATTAAAAAATAC